GAAATACTTGATATAGTGATAGATCAGAAAGACTGATTTCCTTGGAAGTTAATTCATTGCAAACATGCATGAAACTTTTCTAAGAAATAAGTCTAGATAAGGAACAAATAATGATGTATTAATAATGAAAGAACTGAAGATGTTTAAGAATTCCATTCTGGCATAATTAAGGGATAAATCAGTTCAAAGATGTCACTGTTGTTAAAACTTTGTTCATTTACTGAATTATGTTTCATGTGAACAGAGTGTATTTTTAAGATAATTTGATTATTACATAAGTCAATGTCATTTACAGTTTTTGGAAAAATTGATATTAATCCCATGTCATTGAAAGTGTAACTGAGGTTATCAAACTAATTCCTCAAAGGCCACCTGATAGCCACCAGATGGCAACCTGAGCTGATGTCAAGTCAGGAATTGAAGTTACGGATAGCCCTGGGACTACAGGAAATCAGTCATTCATCCCACAGGGTTCCTTTGAAACCACAAAACACGAAGGCTTGCTACCACTTTTGTAAATTCCATTTGAACATAATGAAATATTCTCTATGCACAAGGCTTACCATAATTAAAGTTTTTTTTTTCTTTAATAGGAGTCTATCTAGAATTGGCACAATATGGAATGATCATTAATAGACCTGTTAAGGTACTTGAAAAAATGCCTATCAAGAGCACAGGCGCACATTAGCAAATTTCCTAAAGAAAATCCATTTTCATTTCAAATTCTGACATTTTATTTAGAAAAATTATGCTCTTTCTTTTAATTATTTCAGTAAACATAATGAGGGCCTTGCTAACGACACCTCAGAGTACTTTATTTTCTCCAATTTTTTAGTAATATGAGTCTACTTGTAATTAAAGGCATGCTGCATTAATGATGCCGAACGTCTCCAAGGGAAACATTTAATGTCCACCTCATAATATTATGCCAAAATTACATGCACAGAAGACTTTTTAATAATCTTTGTTTCCTAATTTAGTTTTGATTGGCTCTGAAATCCATAGCAGCACTCAAGGGCTCCCATTTCTACAGTCATCAGCACTTCTGTACCATAAATTGTACAAACACACATGACTTCTTCTGTCTGTAGGCTTCCTTTCAAAGCTTCTGTTTAACTTTTCCCGAAAATTAGCTGCAGGCTAGAGATAATTGCAGATAATTTTGCCATTTTTAAGTCACTGGGGTGTTGCATGGAGACAAGGACAGCTAAGTTTGTCTAAACACAAAGAATAAGTCATACCTTTGTGCTGTCACTTCGGCTTTTCACATGGGTTCAGATCATCCTATCTGCTCTTTATGCAAATGGAAAGAAATTGTAGTCACTAGATGATCTGTGTTTCCTGACAAAGTTATGCTACCTGAAGCTTTTAATGTGGCCAAAAAGATAGGACTGTTAAAAAGAAAATGGAAAATCCTCCTCAGTCCTTCAGATCCTTCCCCCTTGGCAAAAACAGAGATCTTGTCCAGTCATCATCAACTTAAAAGGAATATATTAATTTATTGGTATAGTTTTCAATGTACACAATTCATACATATATTTGTGTGTGCAAATCCCATCCCCTGCACTGTCATTTCATGATCATAAATAGAAATGGCAGAATTTTCCTGGAAAACTAATGTTTATAATTGATACAATTCATATAGAACAATTTTAAATCACTTGACATTGAAGATTTGTTAAGTATGTCACCCAGATTAATAAGCAGAGATCCCTTGTTAAATATTTTTTCTAAAAATGCAGTTTATCTTAAAATAAATGCAACATTCATGCCTAATCACTGGAATATAAAGAAACAAATGAAGAAAGCAGCAAAACAGACTCTTAATGCAATGACAATGAACTTCAACCTATATTAAAGAAATCAGCTCTGGGAATTGTAGGGTATTTCTCTGACCAAATGTCCTCTGGGTGCTCAGAACTGCTATAGTCACAGCTAATAAGGGTGTCACTAGCTGAACAAGTGATTATGGAAACCACTTTGCAGCAAACATTTGCGTAGAGGGACTAAGTAGTGGTTGAACCTTGGTGGCAGCTCCCCTGATGTAATAGGCCCTAACGACTCCGACTCCGAGGAGCAGGTATGGATGCAAATGTTAAGGAGGAGTGAAGGTGCAAGTCCTAACACAAATGACTTTATGGATTCCCATTAGACCTTGGGCTAAGAAGCACCCAAACAGGTCTGAGATGACAGGATCCTGAGACAGTTTTACAGCCTTGTGTCAGAAACTCTTACACTGAAGCGTTTTCTGGAAATTCCAAAACTGCAGGGAGGAAGTGATGCTATATTAGGCCATTATCATTGACTTGGCATATAATATGCATACAAATAGTCCCAAAATATGCATTTAAAGGATAGTTTATTAAATCTGTTATGCCAATCATATGCCTATTAAGGAATACAAATTAAGCACTGATAAAGTAATGTCTCATACACCTTACACTCTCCCTTGGAAAACCATTCTACTACTCAAAGCCAAGTTTAAATCCACCAAGGTTTCCAAACATCTGCATCATACTAAGCAGTAGTTTTAAAAGATTGCCCTGTGGAGTTTTGAGTAAACATATAGAAGATAAATGTTACCGTACTTGAGAAACCTGAGGGATATAATTTTAATTCTCTTTTCCCATTTGGTCTGCAACATCACTTTAGCCAGAGGACAGGTAGGAAGTGACTTCTTCAAGGACTTTGGATCTTGTTCCTTTGAAAGGCAGACATGGGAAGTCCTGAAATACGCCCTTTGCACATGTGATGGGAGAAAAAACATGCTCAAGACGCCAAGTAAACTCTTCAATGTGATGGACAATAGCAGTGCTGAACACGTCTTCTCTGGCTGAGATCAGGGAAGCTAAACACACAAACCACACACATCGCACAGGGCCTCTGTGAGGGAAAACAGCATCCTGGGAAAGGATATTAGCTATTTTACTTAGATCTATAAATCATTAAACAATTTTAGAAGTGGCATATTGCTACAAATGTCACGTAAACCAATGTCAATATACAGAGCTAGAGTGTTCTTAACGATATGAAGAGTTGACCCAGATCTCATCCTCTACTACAAGAAGTAGAAGATTGCACAACCTGTCACCCAGGTTTAAGCCCGGATCTGCAATGAGATCTCATATCTGACCTTTCGCGAGAAATTAGTAAATACCTTATATATATGACCAACAAATGTCTCAGCTCCTTTAAAGATTTATTATTGTTTTGCTAATGTGTTTGAATAAACTCCTTCTCTGGAAGTCTCTGGTCTCAAAAATGCAACTTCTTTGCAAAACACATACCTGTATCCCAGAGAGACAGGTCCTCTCTTTGAAATATTTAGTCTTTCAGGGCACTTTAGTCATAGTGACACTTAATAGCCAAGCTCTTTTTCTCACTCTCCACAAAATCAGGTTTAGACTATAATTCAAACCAGTCCCCAAAGGCACCTCTGAAAAATGGCAAGCCCTTAGCTTTTAGGTGAAAACACTCTTTATTGCTCAAAATTGTTTCCTGTTACAAAACCTTTTCTATAGTGCTAGGTCTAAGATGATCTTATGCTAATTTAACTCACTGGGGACTACGAACAGATGTTACTTTGATTAATAGTTTCACTATCCTGAAAATGCCAGGCCAGGTTCAAGATAATAAAGTCAGGTAAGAATACTATTAAAATCTGCCATACAATTATATCTGTTATGTGGAGAAAAATGGGGTCACAGTTCTTGTAGCAAATAAAGACCACCTATAATTAAAAAACCCCAGAACAACATAAACCAAATGAACCCACTGTCCAAATTCCTTAATTTATACCATCTTAATCACCAATGCATTTATTAATACCTTATAGTTATAATTTCAGCTATGTCTTTCAAGAAAACTCAACGTGTCATTCCAGTGTTATCTTTTCACATAGCATTTAATGTTCTATCCAGAACAAGACATATATACCATGAGAACAGTGCATTCTATGATTCTGCATATCAAAGGATAGTATCTGAATTTATATATTCCAGGCCATTACTTCTCAGAAAATATGTTTTCAACATTCCAACAGTCATCTTTAGACTACCCATAGAAAACTGCAAACCTTGCAAATAAGGGGCTGCATGAATTGACAAATAAGATTTTTCTGGAAAAAGCATCTCAAGACTTGAGTCCCTCTCTCCTCTGCTTTTCCTCTCACTTCCAAATCACAGCAGCTTTCTGATGAGGAAAACCATGAGAGCCAGTCTAGCCTTGAATTATGGAATTTGGAACTGGCCTTTGGAACTGGCCTTATACATATATGTGAAGAAAGCTTTATGTTTCAATGTTGATTTGCCAGTGGATTTTATCCTTAACATAACAGATATGATGTCATCATATCCCCAACCTCCAATCTAAAACTTAGCCTATAGTGTATCTGACTCAGTGAAACTATTGGTTTGCAGGGAAGCGGAAGATAATTTCCAGGACATCAATCACACCTTGCAAACTGTAATTCCAGGTAGTGCAAGTCTTCACTGAAAAGGAAGCTAATTTGTTAACACAAATCTGCCACCTGTGTACTCATCACATGAATTAAGTCTTCACACTCACCACATTCGTATGCATATGTGATTAGACCCCATTTATATGAAATAGTCTATTCAAAAGGCTTGCCTCACCATTGCACAGAATGTTTCAGGCGGGTCTCCACAGGTAATATCCGGAGGGTCCAGTTTCACTTTCAGATATTTTGTCATGTCCGTGGATTCCGGCTGACAAGCCATGTAATCCCAAACTTTCCCTTCTTCTGTGTAAATCTGAGTCTTACACACATCATAATGTCCCCACACCAAAGGGTAGGGCTGCATCACTGAGGACACTGTAACCCAAAGGGCATGAATCGACAGGAATCTTGACAAATACATCTCTAAATTCTTTGTAATCTTCTTGGAAACTAAAGAAGAGTTTGCTTTGTGATCTGTCTGTATTTTACATATATATGTTGATATGTAGGTAGGTCTGTATATTAAAAAAAGAAAAAACAAAAAAGAGGATGGGACCTCAAAGCAGATTCCAAAACCAAGCGTGGAGGGGTGAGATGTGGTGTGTGTTCAGGTATATCGAGAACTTTGGTGGCAGCCTAACATACTTGTGTGTTAGGTGTTAACAACGTGCAGCTTTTTCTTTGTCCTAGAACATAGCTCTCAGATTCAGGTCTGGTTTGGTTTTTGTAAAAGATGTCCAGTTGCAGATAATAATTGGGCCAAGCGATGGCTCTCCCGTTGTACATCCGATAACCCTGAGTGATCCTCAATGTTCACAACTCACAAAGGACGCTCAGGCACACTGAGATGTCAGTATCCAGAGCAAAGGGACGAGCGTCTATAGCCCGGTGTCCGTTTCCCATCAATCATTCTTTTCTTCCGGCACCAGCACCCTTTCAGAAACAATAAGAGTAAGAGTTATTGTCTCAGAATCGATGTATTACGAAATGTACGATATGTTGACATTTAGGGGGTTTGATGTAATATAAAGCAAATTGGTGTAATATGGATAACCTTTACTCAGCTGCTTGGCAAGAACGAACAAACCATGGAAATTGTCCACGTGGGGGCGCGGGGGGGTGGGGAGGATTTCCATAGGAAAGATTTAACTCTTCCATAACAAAGACAGATGTGTGTGTTCCAGGTGAGTTACAGGTCTTCGCTTCAAAAATTATTTTTCCATCTTGATCAAACTGAGGGCAAGCAGCTAGATTTAAACATTTCTCAGATACTGCAGTGCTAGAAAATCTTCCAAGGGAACAATGGGGGAAATCAGTGCTTTTATAACAATGACAAAGAAATGACAACTACTTGTATGCCTTTTGTCTCTTGGCAAAGAGACCTTAAAAATCTCCAAATTCTTTGTACATTTCTTAGCTTTTGTTAGCTGGAGTGAAAAACCAGCATTGCTGGCATGAGCCTGTCCCTGTGGATTTGCTCATTATATTGGAAGAATTTAGCATCTTTTGTGTGGTTGCGTTTAGTAATAAAGATAATTTGGCTCTCTGAAAAAAATATTCAAAAATAAAACCAAAGGAGCAAATTTTCCTTTCATGAGAATTTTCTATTTTCTTACATCTTTTTATAGCCATTACATCTGCATTTGCAGTTACTTTCTGTAACAGAAGAGAATTTGTCCCAAAGGCGAATATTATAAGCTGCTTTAAAACTAAAAGCTCTGTAGTAAAACGCACAATTTAAAATGCACATATAAAAATAGCTGAGGGTGAGTTAACAGGCCATGAAGCAGAATAATATGGCACTAATTCTAAGAGAAAATAAAAATTACTGTTTAAAAAGTACTTTTGGTTAACTGATAATGCAGCCTACAAAACTTTGGTGAGTTTAACTGGCAACTTTTCTCTTTAGAGATCACTATCCAAATCGAAACAAATGCTAATATTTGGAAACCGAGTGCATTTGCCTAATCAGTTATTTCATAGTTGTGGTCCAAAAATTAACTATTTTTTACACAATTCAAAAGAGACCAAAAAAAAAAAGCCTACAGTTTTAGAAAATTCCATTATAGATCCTTCAATTCACATCAAACAGTTGAAAATATGGAGGTTCACTATCTTCAAACAATCTTATAAGGGGAATTCATTATATTTAAATAATGTACCATCTTAAAATGAGCTAAGCCAGAGAGACTATGAAATGCCAACAGATGGTTGAATTGTGTTTCCATAGCAAAGTAATTTATAATAATTGCTTTATGGATGCAAGTGTGCAATTTTCATTATATTCAATTCATAAAATGTTATCATACAGCTGCAATTTGTGATATTTTCTATTAGGAAAAGTGTTGAATATTTGAGTTCCTATGAAGCAATAATTAGCAGTTTGTCTAAACACATATAAACTAGATTTGCATCTGCCTCTTTCCCATAACCTAAAGACTATACTGTGTTAAGCACATTTTAAAATCTTAAGCTAAAAAACAAACAAAAAAAATTACAGAGAAGCATGTGCTGTGGCTACTACAGCCTTCTGCTTTTTTCAGATTCATTAGGAATTTGAGGTTGATATTTTCAGAAACATCCAACAATTTGACAACTAATAATCTGAGAAGGTGTTAAAATAATATAAATCTACATTTTTCTCGCTGTGTTTTTAAACTGTGTTTACTACTGTATTATAAGAGGGAACAAACACTTCCCAGGGGGATGGAAAGTGGACATCATGACCCAAGCAACGGAAAAATCTGCCAGTTTGGAACTTAATAACTTCAATTATTGGTAAGAACAGCAAGTTGTTTATCAAGAATGATATCATCTTGAAGACCTGGCATTGACTGCTTGCGTTTGGACTGAGCCATCATTATGTGCTAATTTTTAATGTTACTTTAAACATATGACCGTGAGTATATATATTTCAATGCTTCCTGAGATTAGTTTTCACTTTCTTTTATAACCAATACATAATGCTCCCCTCATCCACTTACTCTTGGTTACTCTGTCTTTATCCACACTTTGCCTTAATGCACCCACAAAATGAAGCATGACCAGACATTTGTAAATGAAAAATTTGGACACTAAGGAAATATATGTGAACCCGTTGCTATCTCCTGACACCACAGCAATCTCAATATAACGAATTCTCATTAAAGTATACCAGAATTATAATGATGGTCATTACACAGAATTATGGACTGCACCATTGATCGAATTTAGAGAACTGACAAGGAAAAATGCAGAGGAGTGCAAGATATTTGAATATTAGGCAGTTGCAGGACGGTGCAACAGACATTCTTGACAAGAGGCAGCCAGTTATAGCTTAAATTTCTGGCACATAACCAGTTGTGATTAATAGTTTTCCATTACATTACAGACATATTATTAATGTATTAAAAATGTCAAGCTTTGGCAAGCACTAATGTGCCATGGCTCAGTTAGTCGGCAGAATTTACATTTAATGAGCTCCCATTGACACAGGAAAAAGATATTGACCACAGCATATTACAGATCAGGAGCAGAGGGACACTAAGCTGTTATTTAACATAATTATTTGATTTCATTCTAATTTTTATGTTTGTACCATCTCTTTGTAGCCTTCACTGCAGGATCTCCTTACTTCATAGTGCCACATACACTTCAGAGAAAACCCTCTTTACTTCAAATTAGTCAGAAATTAAATCTATGAACTTCCATGGTACACAACGGGAAAGAAGCCTCTCTGAAAATCAGGAATGTACTATTAAAGCACGACTGTGGAGTTTTCAGAGAAAATAAAGCAATGTGAAAAGAGACTATTATTTATACCTTTAACTCTATTACTTAATGGCACTGGTTCCCATCTGGCTACGCTTTCAGCCAGGTTAAAATTATCAATAGCTTCTTAAAAGCTAGGTCGTCACAGCAAACAGCTAGGCAAACTGATTATGAGAAGGGCAGTCAATGACATATTGGGAGACTTAGTATACTAAACGTATCCCTTCCGGTCCATACCTGAACTAATTGTGAAGTAATACGGACTTTGGATTCATCTTAGGTGTCTGTTATCACCTAAATAAAAAGAGCTTCAGAAGGGGTTTCTTCTAGTTTTTACCTTGCAAAGCTTGGGAACTCACTGTAATCAAATAATGCCATCACCTCTACCTGGAAACTAAAGTACTGAGAAGTCCTCTTTGTTTAAAAAAAAAAACTCATTAATATGCTGTGAGTACTCCATAGACCTCTGGTGTATAAGTTTGCAGAGCCAATGAAAATAGATAAATTTATGTCATGGCCCTCAAGTTGATAGATATTATAGATCAGGGCTAAAATGGGTTACAGGACGGTTTTGCATACATAGAAAATATATTTTTCCAGGATTCTGTAGCTAATTCCCTTCCACCTTGGATTAACTTTGCAAAGGCATCTCACAGACCCTTTCTCTTAGCAGGAAAAAAAAAAAAAAAAAGCCTTCCAAATATTACACGGGGGTAATAAAGATAAAAATTATAGGCAGTTATAATCCAAAAGCAATTGTCATTTTCATCAACTGAGACCAGTAAATTTCATAATCTAGCTGGCTTCTGACATTGGTCTTATTACATAATCTCACTATGAGGTGGGAGCAGAGGTAAAAGGCTATTTATTTCATAAACATTCAGCTCTTCGGGGGCACCTGAAATAGACAGATATTGACCCATTCCTCACAGACATTAAGAATTTTACAAATATGCATGTTTCTGAATGGGAAGCAACAAAAGGAAAATCGACTATAATCATAAACCATTGAGTGAAACATATAAAGAGAAAAAGACATACAGATTCCAAAATCTATCGAAATTAGCAGCCTCTAACACAGGCATCATGAAATCTATTACACAAGATATTTAAACATGTAACCAATGTCCTCTGCACTTATTTGTCCTGAAGAAAGCATTTTCTAGTCACCTTAATGGGAAACATATGCATCTATCCTTTTGTTAACTGTCTCTCAAAATATAAGAAATTGAGCATGAACAGGTATCACTGGCACAGCTTACTCATACTTGATTATGATGAGCAACTGCCTATCACACAATTCTTAATAAAACCTAATAACACCTTAGTATTTGAAAGATCTCTATTTTCACTGAGAGAAGACTGACTAGAGAAAGCAGATAGCACACATTTTGCAGGATGTTTGGGGATGGGAGAACACATAAAAGTATTTCAGAATCAGTTAAGCCTAGAAGAAATCTGGTGTTTAATCACCATGTGAACAACAAATATTTCACTCATACCAAAAGTCCAGAGATCCAAGGTTTCAAGTAAGAGAAAGTCAACACCCGCCTGAAGTTTGGAAACACAACTTTGGATTCTGAAAATAAAATTATTTTTAGAAGTATGCTAAATCTCATGCTACTAACCTAAGACCTTACTGACTGATATAATTTTATATTATATAATATAATTCACATATGTATCTTTCACTGTTAACATATAGTTGGTTTTCCAAGTCAAATTAAATTTTATTTATTTTCAGGTGACTTGGTGTTTTGGTAACTCTAAAACTCTCTCCAAATTTTCACAACACTTAGAAAACCTATCAACTAAATGTGTAATGGTTGAATGTTTTTATTATATTACCTGAAGTTTTTCAGAATAATAATGAAAGCAAAGACAGGCATTTATACCAACTGAAAATATACAAAAGGAAACTGAAAAATACATTAGCTTCCTACTAAAAAAAAAAAAAAAAAGTTAACCTGAATCATTTTAATACACATGTCCAGTGAAAGCTGACAAGACAAAAATCTCAAGAGAAAAATAACTCCCTGTCTAAATAAACTGTCTCCTTACAAAATTTTTAGGATTATTGCACATTTCACAATAGGAAAATCACCCAGTGAATAGTCCAACATATGAAATTCTGAATGTCCTCATGTTGGTCTTTAGTGGTGAAACAGATCTCATTTCATGGCATCCAGAAAAAGAAAAGAGATTCCTTATATACAGAAACTGGACAACACTGCATGTGAAATACTCGGTGCATGTTTTGCTTTGCATGCTGATCCACATGCAGAGATCCAAACTGTATCTTCATGAAAAACTGAAAGTTGCTTATCTTCAAAAGAATCTTGGGCAGTTTTAGTGAGCTGCTTTTCCTTTGCCACAGAGAAAGAAAGGTGGATAAGGCATTCCAAGTGGCATAGTTCAAAATACTTCATGAAATGTGGGGTGCTGATTCCCTCACAGCTCAGAAGTGCTCCTCCAGGGCCAAACAAAACAGGAAATCCTCCCCCACAAAGATAAGAGTTTTTGGAAAACTTTCCAACAAGCTTAACCAGTGGGCATATTTGAATCAATGATTTTAATAGAAGCTCTTTGTGGGTTTTTTAAAAAAGGTAAGATAAGAAAAACTTTTAGTATTTTCAGTCATAAAACAGGACCTTGTTTCTGGAGCAAATCTACTGCCAGATTCACCATATGTTTAGTAGAATTCTGAATCTTACTCAGAATTTTCCATTCCAGAGATTGACAATTCGTTATGTTAAGGAGGAGCTCCATTATTCTCCCTGTGAATAACGGCAGAAAAGGGAGGATCCTCTACTCACTGGCAATCTATACCCGAAGCAAAGACAGGAACTCAACTTGCGACTTCTCCAAATAAAGTTGCTTTAAAATCACCGCTAGGAATTTTCCTCTCTTGCCCTATAAGATGACAACCTACTCTTAAGTGCATTTCTGGAAGGAAGGGAAAAAAAAAAAAAAAAAAAAAGGTGCCCGGGTGAGGTTATTCAAATAAACAGCAGAGGGCGCAGTTTCTTTTTTTATCTAAGTTTTCCCTTGCATGAATCTCTTAATTGGTTATTTTAGGCCCAATAATATTCAGTATTATTTGTATTATATATAGATATCCACAGATCCATACGGAAGAGAAATCCAATGTCCCGGGCCGAATCCGTCCACCGATTAATGCGATGCCAGTGAAAGAGCCCGAGAAAAGGTTCCAAGCAGCCTTCCCCCACCGAGTCTTTTCCTCCTCCAGTCTCCCTTTCTCCCCAGCTGCACCACGCGGGAGAGTGAGGCTCTCATCTCGCGCCAATTAAGGGGATTAAGAGAAGGGACTTCCAAAGCTGCCGGTGTGGTCACCAGCTGCCCGGGGCCGGCAACGGGGCAGGTGTCCGCGCGCGCGCGCGCGCCTCCCCCGAAGCAAAGATAATTGGCAAAACCACAAAAAACATCACGACGGTCCCCCTCCTGCGCGTAGCGTGTGGCCAGGTGTGTTCCCTTCGCGCGCGTAGTGTGCGGCCAGGTGTGTGCGAGAGAGGGCGAGCGCGGCGCGGCTGCCCGCGGGTGAATGGAGGCGCCGGCCCGGGACCCAGCGGGCACCCACGCCCCCGCTCCGGGAGCCCCCCGGGAAGGCCGGCGTGGGGGTGTGAGCGTGTGCGGGTGCGTGTGCGCGCGCCGGGCGCCGCG